CTGCCCCCCCTCTTTCCCCCTATGTCACCGGAACCCGTCAGTGAGAGGCTTGTTATGCTAATCTAGTCTTTGGACCACTGACGCTCTCTAGTACTGGTGAGCCATCAACTTGATGGACTGCGACAGCAACACCCCCTGCCCGTCCAACATGATTCCTTAACTCAGTGTCAGAAAATACCACTAACCTTCACTAAACTGCCTTCAGAGCCCTTATGCTGCTTCCTCTCACCAAGCATACCAGTGGCAAACATTTAGTTAGACTGGTCTGAACTGGCTACTGAGTCTTTATTTACTACTTTCAACCACTTAATCCAAGAGTCTGAGTTCTCAGTGTCACATTAATGCACCATATAGAGCCAAGAAAAAAGCCCATAATGGAAAATAAATTATCCAAAGCATGCGCACTCATTTATCAAAACATTTCACTATTTTTAGAAAATGGTAGCATGTTATACTGTGATTTAAATGTGTGACCCAATCAAAACAAATCATATTGTTTTGGGACCAAAATAATTCTGTGAAAAAACTTGGAGAGGCTTCCTGTTGTAAGATATATAAAAAGTATATTCTTGGTAAGAACATTAATATCTAACATGGTTTTTCCCAAAAGTCCAACTATGTAAATGTCAATGAAAACTCAAATCACACCTACTGGACTGAGATGGGCTGCCGAACTAGTTGTGAAAAGTGCTCATACCTCCTACATTCACATGTAAAATAAGCACAGAGAAACTTACTCGTATATCAGATGAATATGAAAACTGGTTTCCTGTTTCCAACTCTTCACATACATTACTCTGCACAGTGAGGCTCAGAAATACAAGGGAAGTAACAGTGACAAAAAGAACATTTAGAGGTTGACTTCAAGTACCAAAGTTCATGCTTTAACGAATAAACATTAGTTTAGACAGTGTAATGTCAATAAAAGCTCCAGAAAAAATGAGTGTTTTGTTCAAATCTTATGTCCAAGGGCAAGAATAAACCTTTTTAAAATACAATGATGACTATCTGCATTTCAAGTCTGCCTACATGTTAAGGGTTACTCATAGTAAAAGATTATCTTTGTGGGAGAAGCCACAGGTCCTGTTTGCCTGGAGGGAGAAATGGAGTCTGTATCAGTCGGCATGCAGTGGATCGGCACGCAGTGTTGTGTGACGAACAAACTGGTGCCAGCGTTGGTTTGAACAAGCTCCTACAGGCTGGAGGATGACGTTCAAACTGTCGGCAAATGACACACTGCAACACTCAGGCTTCAGTTGATGTGGTATGGTTATGATTAGAGCGGTATTGAGACTCAGCCTAAAGAGGTAGTTAGCTAAGGATTATAAGAGCTTGCAAACAAGCAACATATCTCGAGTGCCGATGGTCCCACAACAGCTCCTTCTTGCTTTCAATTGCCCCGATAGCAGACTTTCCCAGCGCTGGGAATAACACAATGAAAGGTTTTTTAGGGCCTTTTAAAAGCCATCGTCCGTTAGCAATGTGGCAGCCCACCATGGGCACACAGACACAAACACAGGCATTCTGGGTAATTACTGCTAACGACCCCGCCACTTTTTAGCCAGACCTCCTATTTTTGACATCGCCGTGCCAACACCCTGAGCCTGTGACATCAGAGTTTGTTTTGTTGTGGGTCAACTTTGCATGCGGACGCTTTTAAGGACACCAGAGAGTGGTAGAAGTGTGTGTGCAAGCAAATGCCTGACGAGCCAGTGTCTAAGTTAATATAACTGTGTCTATGCAGGAAAGTGTTTGCTCAGAGATTAAAACTATATGTGTGTGTGTGTGTGTGTGTGTGTGTGTGTGTGTGTGTGTGTGTGTGTGTGTGTGTGTGTGTGTGTGTGTGAGGACACAGCTGGGTCTTGCAGGGCAAAAGCCAAGATGCTGGTCGGTGTGCAAAAATGAAAGCAGGCAAGATACCCACGAGAAGAAAGTTACAGTTTTTTTGATAGATCTTTTTAAAAAGGGTTGCGACTCCACTATTCAGATCCCACGGTTGGCATGCCAAACCTCTAGTGACGCACACAATGCACATACACACAGACATTTCTGTGTAAAACACACTACCTCACACACCACACATACACGAAAGGATTAATTTTATCTAGAAGTAAAACCTAAATTAAAAACAAATGCAGAAACCACAAAAAGAGCAGACTGTGTCTGCAAGAGTTTACAGGGGATCAGCAAGTCTGTGCCGAGTGTATCGTTACACCAAGTGGACTAAATACATTTTTATTAGAAAATGTCTATATTTATAAAGTTCATTCAGCAAATATAATAAATGATGTTAAAAGAATAGAATAAATCAATGTGTATCATCATTGTGTGTCTGCTTGAGAATAAGCCAGTTGTTTTTTTATGTATTAAAGACAATTTCTATTTTCATATGTAACATTTGGTTTATTTGTGGATATATATATATATGGCATATTATAAGTACTATTGGTCACAGTCAGAGCTGAGCTGAGCTGCTGTCAAACATACACACAAACCTCCTGAGGATGACAATGCCCTATTTGGGTAGGGTGCCATCTCCTGGTTGGAACAGAGCATGTAACCTCATATCCCACCCAGAGAGATGGACAGTGGGCTAGGGATAGGGAGGTGGTCATGTTTAGTTGCTATTGGGAATGAAGTTGCCACATGCTGAAACCATCTTTGATGAAATGTATGTCTCCTTATGTTTAAAAGCCTGGGACATCAAGATCACACACAAACTACCATTCACGAGTCGGGCTGAAAGTCTAAGTGTGTGCATTTTAAAGACATCAGAAACATTTATCTTTCTAAGAAATGTCAGAAACTATTACAAATGCTCATCACATTCCTAAAGACGTAGGTGGTGGCATCTTTAAATATACGTTTTTTTGTAAGACAAACAACAATCAAAAAGCGGGATGCTCCTTACATTTCGGGGCCAGTGATTGTTTTATGCACTTTGTATTTGTATGCACTCTTGAATGTGACGTGTGGATGTCCCAAGGTGACACTGGGTGCATGTGTGTGGGAAAGAAGAGTGTCTGCACAGCTAGTTGCAGAGGCCAGAGGTAGAAGGTAAATCATTGGTCATCTCAGGCTAGTAAAAGAGGCATAGTTAAGTGACAGGAAAGGAAGAACCTTCACAGAGGACTGCACACACACAAACTGTGAACTGTCTATAGTATATAAACAGCGTGTGTGTTAAGGGAGAGTAACAGGCTTAAGGCTCTGATCTCACTGACTGCAGTCGGGTCTGTTCTGCAGACGCCAGCTGGTAAACATGCCAGTGTGGGCTAAGTCTGTGTTTGTCAGGGTGAGGGCGGGGAATACAGTGCGTTTTGTGCATGAATTGAAGATTGTGCAATAAAAGGCAAATCTGTTATGATCAGAGTTAGTCACCAGATGAGCAGGAATGTCAGCATACCTTCACTGTAATCCTGAATGAAAATAAGAAATGTGTGTGTATGAAAGAGAAAGAGACGGACAGTTTTACTGCGATGTGTCTCCTTCATGTCTTATCTCCCTCCTCTCCTTTCCTGCACTCCATGTGAGGGCAGATTCTCTCCTCTTTATGACTCTTTATCTGACATGAAAGGCACTAACATGGGATACCCGCCATTACGGCTCCATCAACATGAAAAGCTCTGACATGGGATTCTCCACAGCGGCTCAGCCCATTAAGGACGACTGGTGATCCTGTGCTCTGTCAAAGAGCCGTCACAGGGAGACAGCACCACCATAATGAGGACTTAAAACCTTAACCTTGCCTTTAAGACCTCTGGTCAAAAGCAGCAATAAAACCTCAAGAGGGCACCTACTGGCTGGCCCGCTCAGTAATTACAACCCATGTCCTAGCACTAACCCAAAAGGTCCTAAAGTTTAGATATACAAAAGAGAATAAGACAGTTCAGAAGTGAGGCTGAGGGGTCATGGCTCGAACACTATGATTGGTATTCTTAAGTGAACCAAGAGTCTGATTCTGCTTTTGATAACGCCATCCACACCTAGTCTTAATGGCCTAACTACTGGTTTACAGTTAGTCATAAAGAAAGAAAGAAAACCGGTGATTCCTTGAGACAAAGCTTGCATAAGCAAAAACAGCAAATTACACACAGATCTCAAAATCTAGAATATGCAGAGATGGACTAAGCAGGTGTAAACACATTAGAGAGAAAGACAGCAACTCAAAAACATGCACATGTTTAATAATGCAGTGTTTTATATAGGATGACTGCTTGTGTGCAACATATGGGCACATTTATTTAAACAGCTAATTCCATTCTCCAATTTAACACTTTAATATATTTATTTTCAATTTATTTTAATAACGTTTATTTAATAATATGTGAGTTTATTTTCCAAATAATAATAATTACTTTTTTAAATCAACATGAGACGCTCTTCACATTGAAATGAACGAGATTCATCGCCCAGCACATTTAAATATGTCACATTTGAAGCTGGTTTGACTGTTGCCCCTATTTGTTCTTTCTTCCATAACAGTGGGGAAGAACACCGTGAGCAAATGCCAGGGGTTGAGTATCCATCCAGTAAATGATAACTGGTGTGTTAACTGTAGGCTCACAAGTTAAGATGTGACCAGTTGCTGACAACCACTGTAGCATTTAAAAGGCAATTCTTTTTAAATAGGAGTCAGGCAAAATGTCCAATCCTAATAAAAGGCTCCGGCGCTTCATTACATCACTTGCAGCACTTCACGATTCACAATGCAGGCAAAACAGCATCACTAATCTGTTTTAACCGAATATTAACTGGTATAGCTCTGGTTACAACACCAAAACAACAGTCTCCCATGACGTTATCATGTCATTCATTATGGAGTCTGTTTGTAACCACGTTATCTATTTTCACTTCAGCTGTTTCTCCACTGCTTCATGTGTGAGTAGAGAAACAAAGCTCTGCACATGGTGAAACTCGAGAGCAGAGAATATGAACGATTCTGTGATATTTTCGCAGAGACGGGATAAACATTGAAACAAATGTGGCTGGCACCTTACCTCCTGACACTGGAGCGTCCATGAACACAGCACCCATCTTCTCTGCAGCGACGGCCATCTCTCTCGAGACGGCAGGGTCGATGGTGGAGGAGTCAATCAACAGGGTTCCTTTCTTCACTTTCCTAAAGAGGGCAAAACAAAAAGCATTAACACTTCATGTATAGCAAATGTTTGGCCAAGCCCCTCTGTTCATACATGCTGCAATTGTGATGTTTCTGTGTTATAATTGTTTAAGAGGTACATTAGGGTTGCATGAATGCGTGAATAGTAAATTATGCTTACTTGAGGATGCCATTTGGACCTGTGTAGACTTCAATCACATTTGGACTGGAGGGGAGCATTGTGAGGATGCGGTCGGCTTTTTCTGCCACGTCTGCTGGAGAGTCTACTACCTAAAGATTGGAGTCAAAATTGCACAAAACATTAGATCAACAACACAATATTCATTAACACATTGGATGTGTTGAAGTTCTTATTTATGAGAAGCTGTTGGCCCATAGCACATATTTATTTTGTAGCTCTTCTAAAAAGATCTGCATTAAGTTTCAATAACTGCTTCGTAAAAGCTTGCAATAATTGTCAAGTTTGTTGGTTTACTTTTATTTGTCAATATGTAATGAGTGTTACCTGGGCACCCATGTCCTGCAGCTCCTTGCAAGACTCAGGGAAGACATCAGTGGCAATAACAGGATAACCGTTTCTTAGCAGGTTTTTGGCCATGGGGCTGCCCATGTTCCCCAGGCCAACAAACCCAATGGGGGTTTTTGAAGCCATTGATCGCGATGACACTGAGGAGGAAAACAAAGTTGTCATTAGATGTGTGGAAAAGATAGAGAAAATTAAGAGTCCCAGAGCAACTCAAACACAAGTTATACACAGTAGCTATCTACTAAAGATAGTGCAGTTGATTAGAATATTGGAGTACTTAAAATGATGGTGAGACTACTTTCTACTAGCAGTCTTATGGAAAACTTTGGTTTCTATGGCTAATGTCTATCAGGAAACATTCCAGTTAAAAGCAACATGTATATTTTCAAGATTTAAATTGTCTATTTACAATCAATAACAACAGAGAAAATCTGTCTGCTGTAACTTAAGACCAGCTTTCAGCGCAGTCTGGCCAGGCTATTAAACACTTCTGGTTCAGCCAAGGTCCAGCCAGGTTAACAGGTACTAAACAGAGTGGAAACCCTGGCACTGAACCCAGAACACAGCAATAGGATTAGGCCTGGACAGTGAAGCAAAAACAACAATCTCTACTGTAAATGTAACAACCTCCTCATCATATACTATACTGTATCACAATGTTATTACTCTGGATATAAAACTATTCCTTCAAGTTGATATTAACTGTCCTAACATAAGTGTTATCCTCATGACACACCATCAGCTGGTAACATAATTATCTACGATGTGATCGATGAAATAACAAAGATTGACATATTTGGCTACTAATGACACTATTTACTATCTTTCTAGAGTAATAATAATATGGCTAATGTTGCTGTTCACACAAGTGTGGGAACCCATTTGAAGTGATTGCTGTTATTACTGTACAATGGACTTTGAGACTTTCTGTACAGGAATGGGGAAAGACCACGTCTGCTTCATGAAGGTAGTACCAGGGGAAAAGAGAAAGCACTGGTTTTTTTGGCCATTATTAAGGGAAATTATTTGTGTAGCCAAATAACACCATTGCAATGCAACGACAACATTAAAGAATAAAAAGCAACAGTTCATACTTCATAGCACAACAATTTGAACACCAGAGAGTTAAATGCAGTGAAGTAAGGAGCAGTGTAACTATACTATCATGGCAATTGTTTTCGAATTACAAGTAGTGTCTTAACAAGGACAATTTATATCCACATTGTATTGTAGGAGGGGCAGGAGGAGTGGGCGTTGTGTCTATGGTTGCAATCAAAAGCTACCTATTAATGTGTGTAAAGAAAAACACACTTTGGTGTATTCAGAATAGCAACATCCAGAGCAGACTAACACAATAAGAGCTCAATCCATATCTTACCCATCCATCTAGACTCTAAAGGTGTCTTTAACAAAGAGATCATGGTCAATTAAAATGAGCTGCTGCTGGCTATTGCTTCACATTTAATTATGCATTAAGCACACTCTCCTAACAGACTGCAGACTGAACACAACGCAGCAGGTGACAGACTCAGGACATTGTGTCCGCACTGTCTTACTTAACTAGCATGAGCAGTAAGTATTCACACCTTTTTCAGTTGGCTAACGAGCTAGCTAACAGGCTGAAGCAGAGCATGTTCCGCTTGCCTTTTACCCTCAACACACGGGGAAAACGTCACAACGATACTGACAACATAAGCGAATACGTTACCGAAAGCAAGGTCGACATGCTTTGTCCCCCCCAACAATAGGTTTCGCGACCCTCTAAACAACGCAGCCATGCTTCTTTCCCCTTGACCTCAGCGTACAGTGACAGCTGTCAAGGAAGGAAAGCCCAACTGAACTGCTATGATCAGTTGCGGTTTCCACCAATCGCAGCTCTCGATAAGTTTCCGCAGCCAATCAGAAGAAGGCAAAGGCGGGACATCCTGTGCTACTGCTTAATGCCCTTTAGCCACTTTTGTAAGTACAGTATCCACTTAAAATGAACACAAACATAAAATCATTAGATTTCATAACAAATTATTTAGCTATGCAGTATATATTTTGTATTGTAATTAATGCTATATAGTTACGACATTATATATACACAGCAGATGATCTCCACAGCAATTATGGGTTATTATTGTAAGTGAAATTAGCTATAAATGTATGAGGCAAGAGAAGATAATTATTCAACTGATTGAATTAACTTGTGTAACTAATTTAGTTATTTTCTGTAGTAGAGACATCTGCTTTCTCCCCCTCCTCAGCATCATTGGTGGTGCTCAGCATCCCGGAAGTGGAGCATCATTCAGGAAGAGACGCATCATCGTCAGAGCTTTGTCAACAACGGGGACAGTGGCAAAAACATCGGCCTGCCCGACAGAAACTCGCTAATTTTTGCAAGTGGATTTCATATGCAAAGGTTATTTTTTGAACTGCATGCTCAATCAATGCCTGTGATTGTCGCGTCTTGTGCCAGCATGCTAGCAGACCTACGAGGAAAGCTAGCTAGTGACTTGACACGACATGGCCTGTTCACAAGCTAATATTAGCTGCCTTACCACCGTAAATAGATTATCCTCTGAGTAACTGAGGTTATTTTATATACATAGCTCTGCGTTAGATGTTTCATGAAGACATGTTGATCAATGTGGCTCACTGTACAGACAATGTTATGTTAGCTGCTTGGCTGGATTGAGAATGTGTTGTGACTTACTTTCACATTTATCTTGAGTGGAAATGGTTTGTTGTTTAATCTTTAATACAGTAAAAGATGCATTGATTTGCATCACTTTTAAGCAGCTTCACATTTACACTTGCTCTTCTTATACTCTGTAATGCTTAGTTTCATTATTTAAAGCTAACTGCCTTGCTGTAAGGTGATTCGTCACAGGGGTGTGTCGCTGTCTTGTAACATGGGTAACATGTTGCTTTAAGCCTCCTTAACTATGTTAGCTAGGTGATCAATTTGGTGTAAGAAGTTATCTTTACTTAAAGGGTCTGTTTGAGTATTGTTTTTTAGAGGCTAAGAAAAATACTACAAATGTATTCTGCAGTGTTATGTTGTCTTTTAGTCATATGTAACAGTCTTGAAACACACTTTCATTACAGTATACTATATGTCCTACTGCAATTTCCTTACACTTTCATTGCCTTGTTTAAGGAAGTGGATTAGACTCACAATGCCATCACTGTCTTTAAACTAAGAAAGCTCCTCTTGAACCTCAGATAAAACATTCTTCTTCTTCTTCAGAGCTTAGAAGTTATTTCTAATGTTGCAACAGCCGATTATTTTCTATATTAATTGATTGAAAGATTGGTCTATAACATGTCAGAAAATAGGGGAAATGTCTATCCCAGTTTCTCAAAGTCAAGGGGATCTCTTTAAAAGTCTTGATATCTAAGTCCATCACATGCACTTTAATGAGATATAAAACAGATAAAAGCATGACATCTCCATAATAGAGAAGCCAAAAACAGCATTGTTTGCCATTTGTGCATGAAAGGTTACTTTTAACCATTCGTTTATAATCAAGTAAGCTTGAAATTACTTTTCTGTCGATCGACTAATCCATTAATCAACATCGTGACTCCTCAATTGACAAGTAAAATTCCCTTTTAGGTAAATATACAATACCACACCATAACATACTACATTTAGAGAATAGGGTTGAACTCAAAATGGTAAATTTGTACTTATAATTTTTACAACCCATTCTAATTTCCTCAAAACTATCCCATGATTGCGCTCCTCCGCCTTCGTGTTATTTACGGACGCTGCATCAGTTGCTTTGGTTGCGGCACTGAAGGCAAGTTAGGAAAGAAAGGTTTTCTTTGTGCAGAACATATCATTGATACAGCATTTATCTTAACCGATTATATGCAGGTTTAGTTCTGCAAGATGGAGACTGGCTATTTTATTCAAATCATTTCAATTATGTTTTTACAGCTCAAAATCATACAGTCGCCTCCGAGGCTTCATCATCTGTACAGCACATGATACCCTCTATGATAAGACCCTTGTATAGTATACTTTTACTTAATATTAAAAATACCTCTGCTTAGGGTTTGGTATACCACTACACCTACGCTTGGTCTTTAATACAAATACATTTTCTGAGAGGTCTTGGGAACTCATCACAGAATAAGCCTGTGTTTGACTACAGTTTTACCCTTTTCTGTTTTCTGTGTGCAACTGAATGACATGCTTCTTCTTTATTCTGCTGTTAGTGATACTTAACTTCTGTGTCCTGTGCTCTTTTGTCCTACAGACCAATGAAGTGACCGACAGGATACAATGTCATCGTTCCAGGTGGTGGACTCGCCGCCGGGCAGCAGCGTCAGCATCATGGAAACGTCCAACTTTGCCCACGTCATCTTCCAGAACGTGGGGAAGAGTTTCCTGCCCCAGGTGCCCCTGGAGTGTTGCTACACCCTGACCCCTTACATCCCACCCCACCCAAAAGACTGGGTGGGCATCTTCAAGGTACATCACACACAACAGGGAGGCTTTTACCCTCACCATGCATCAAAGACATTGCCAAACATAACCAATTTAGGAGCAGACTTTTATTAAGCTGAATCATTTCTGTTGCAGAGAGATTATAGAGATTGGAACTGCTCCAAGGGCATTACATAAGTGTTTGTTCGATGGATTATGTGTTGCTTTTTCTTTTAATGGGCCGTAGGTTTTGCAGTTGGTAGATTAACACATTTACATCCGCTTTGACACTAATGGTTCACCTCTTCACTTGCCTAAAACCTCACCACAAGCTTTGGTGTGGTTGCTGTGCCAGGGAAAGAGGAAGAGTGTGCATGGTGGGCTGGTTGCAGTAGGTCTCGCTGGGGGGCAAACATTTGGTGCTCTTTAGGAACCACTCTGATTCTTATTAGACCCCGCTTCACTTGTTCATCTTTCCATCAGTCCTTCTCTCTGCTTCCTGCTAACCAACCTCACCCTCCGCTCTTTTATCAAGGCCATCAAATCTCACACGTAATTAACAGGAAATGTGAATGAGGAAACTTAATGTCTCGTAAAGTCAAAAGACAAACATTTTATTGTTGTTTAAGAACTGACTTCAAATCTGCCAGCTCAATTAAAAAAGAATTAAGACGCTGTGTTTATATGGAAAAAAGTCAATTGGAAAATTTAATTGTTGTAATCCACGCTAATGAAACCTGTTTGATGGCGTTTCATGTCAGAGAACAAGCAGACCGCGCTTCTTTAACCCTTTTGACGTACATGTCTGTCTTTCTGTGCATAGATGCTGTATCTGTTCAATTCTGGGGGGGAAAAAGTTTGGCAATGTTGCCATGGCTGCAATTCATAATAATCTTCCATGACTATTAATCTGTCAATAATCTGTATTTTATCGATGAATTGTTTAGTTGTTTGGTGAAAAACGGCGATCAGTGTTTCCAGCCAACAGGACCTTCTAAATATCCTTTGTCGAACACTTAGATATACTCAGTGCACCCTCATAGCGGATACATATGTAAATATGTAATGGACAAACATGTAATTGTTTAATCATTGCAGCTCTAGATATATTAGGAAGAACCATTACTATGGGTATTATTTACTCTTTTTATGAGGGCGGCATCAAGAGGACTGTAACTGTGTGCTTTTACAAATAATAACCATACACTTTGATCATAATAGATACCATTGCAATAATACAATCCTATGAAATCACATGACTTGGCTTGAAGTTTGTTAGGGAGTTATTAAATGTGATTGATTTGATTTGACTGATGCCATTCTGTCAGCTGAGTCTTTTTTCCTCCCAGAGGCAAAACCTATGTGCAGAGATGACTCAGGGAGAGAGCATGTTCTCCCTCTTACCCCTTCACATCCATATGCGTTTCAGAGAGAGACTGAGCAATAAAGCTGACTCTACAGGATGACTCAGGTTGCACAGGCAAGACCGGCTCATTTAAGTTGTGTACAGACACCCCCTAGTGGCTGAAATTGTGAATAATACAATAATGAGGACCTAGTTTATGGTGTCTTCAAACAATACTCACAACAAGTAGTGCATACACAATAAACATCAACCATGAATAATATAATCAAACGCGGCATGTGTTCTTCTGTTTTCCAGCATAGTGTCTTTTTGTTTTATCTATGAAATATTGAATACGTTTGTTCTTCTTTGTTATTTCAGTGAAAGCATAAGTTTGATATTTGAAACACACACAACTCCCTAAAAAGCCCTGTGGAGGTTTTTGGTCGTGGCATGTTTGTTCGGTCGACAGGGAGAAACCCGTTGTGTGAGTGTATAATTAAAGTGTCATCGGGCCGTTCCCTCACACCTTGGCTGAGTGATTGATAGTTCCTCTGCCTGTGATTATTTTATAACATCACTCCCGTGTTGGAATGCCACACCATACCTGACCAAATGTCAGTCAACTTCACTCTGCAATTAGCAAAATTATTTATGTCTGTTTTCTCTTAAGCAAACACACGTGAGCTCACAAGCAAACTTGGCAGGTGTCCATCGCAGCTTCCCCTCTCGCTGAGATGCTGTTGGATGTGGAAAGAATGTCCTTGGCGCAGGTTTCCAAGCGGACAATTACCATCGGTTTGGAATAGCATTATAGAGAGTGTAATGTCCTGATAAGGCTCACGCGCCAATTACGTATCTTGGAACAGTGTCTTCACACCTGAAATGATGACAAATGTTTTGAGTGGCTCGGGTTGATTTACTGTTGTGTTTCAAGCTTCAACACTTTGTCAGCTGTTGAGCAATTCTTCTTTGTTTTTTCACCTAAAGGAATTGATTGATAGTTGTTTATTTAAGTATTTAAGTCCATATATGTTTTTATGGGAACATGGTTAAGAAAAACTGTTATTCTGGTATATCCTATACCATTGTCACACAACTGCCTAGACTGTAATATATTACAATTGCTGTATGACAGCTGTCCAGAGGAGAAACTTTCTCTTGTGCCACTTTGTCTCCATTTTAAAATGTAAAAAATGTGCCATGGAGCCACAGGTGGTTAAGTTATCCACAGCTGAAGTGCAGTTATGCAATGTCACAAACATGTAACGCACATGTGGGTTTAAAACGAGGTGTGTGTGAGTGTGTTTTTTAGCGTGTGTTTGTGTGCGTGAGCGGCCCAGACACGGAGAGTGTGCGGTTGTGCGCGACAGATTTACGACGCAGGACCTGAGTTATGATGTTCACAACTCCCTTTCATCATCTGTCACCTAACAACAAATGAAATCCATGGAATTACACCTCCCTTGCCATTTTGTGTAAAATGTTCACCTTTTCTTCCCTCGTTCTTACCCTCTCCGCCCTTCTCATTTCCACGTGGGTTGCTCTTTGGCGTCTCACGAGTCTGCGCATGTGTGCACACACACGAAAAGCTACATACACCCCTGCCTTCCCTCCCCATTCTCACACCTTCACTGGCCCTCTTTTTCTGAGCCCAAAAGGGGAAGGAACTGCGGGGAAGGAGAGGAGGAAGGGTTGTGTGAAAGAGTGAGGGGGCATGGATTTTAAATGTTTCCATTGCCTCAAACACTGTGTGTAATCCACCATCTTTTGTCATTCAATGAGTTTTTGAAATCTAATGATGACAAAATAATAAAACCTCATCTGTCTATTAAAAATGTAGGTTTTAAACATCTATAACTATTCCCCCAACTTAAGACGACAAGTCGGGCACTACTTTTTGTTGTCGATTAACATTTCCGTTGCCGTTTATTTACGTCCTTAGGTGGGTTGGAGCACAGCGAGAGATTACTACACCTTCCTTTGGTCTCCTATGCCTGAGAACTACGAACCAGGAAGTACAGTGCACAGTACTTTGGTGTTTCAAGGTACACACACACACACACACACACACACACACACACACACACACACACACACACACACACACACACACACACACACACTATGAAAACCACTATACAGACCTACGATATTCCTACGAGAAGTAGCTCCTCCATTTTACAGCGCGTATAAAAACCAACTATTTTATTTAATAAGGGAACACAACCGCAAACAGCGGCCTGGGACCTGAGCACCACTCAAACCACACACACACACACACACACACACACACACACACACACACACACACACACACACACACACACACACACACACACACACAGGTTGAGGGCCTGCAAACTGGTTTTACTGGCCTGGAACGGTCAGATATTACATAGTGAAAATAGGAGAGTGTGCTGTGGTGTGTCAGTAGTCAGTAAAACCGGTTGGCTGCCGGATGTTCTGCTCTTACTCTGCTGCAGAGAAACAGGCCCAACATGTGAAGGATGTGATCCAGTGAGCGCTTACAGTCTAGCTATGGGCTGCTTGAAGCTTAGTCCTATAATGATGTTTCACATATTGAATTATTTGAATATTATTCAATGCATTTGTCGGTCGCTGTGCTGTGCCTGTTTTTTGTGCAGTGTTTTCTCTTTCTCCAGTATAGATGTTTTAGATTTTGTTTGACCAGACATACTTAAAAAACTACCTGATTCAATTAAATAATTTAAAATTGACTCATTCTAGCACACTGTTTTATTTTCAACACCTCTAATTTGCTTACTTCATTTTATTTGCTGGTTTTTTCTTGTTCAACCATGTAACCATTATTGTTTTTTATATTATTATTATTATTATATATTTGAATAATAAAATGGAATAAGAGAAAACTCACTCTTGTCTTTTTATAGGTTATTATGTTCCTAAATCTGACGGAGAGTTCTACCAGTTTTGTTACGTCACACACGTTGGCGACATTAGAGGAGCGAGTACGCCGTTCCAGTTCAGGTCAGCCACACCTACAGAAGAGTTTCTGACTGTTACCGAGGACGACAGCAACTCAGACATACTGGTCGTCACCACCAAGACTGGCCTTCTAGAGGTATGAATCAAGAGAAGGAGATATTTACTTTTATATTATTCAACGCTCTTGGATTTTGTTAAAAGGCAGAGTACTAGATCACTACCCGATCTAAAAGTTCTGCTTTGTAGTGTGACCTTTGACCTCACTGAGGAGAATGAATCCCCTTAATGTCATTATGATTGATCATTTATTATTCTAGACAGCCATAGATACATCCTACAATATATCCTACACATTTTATTTAAAATATTACAATGCGACTTAATACATTTAACTGGTATTTTTGAAAATGACACAAACTCTCCCAAGACAGGGGAATTAAAAGGACACAAAACTTACCGTAACAAAAATAAATATTCAATAAGCCGGTATCCTATAGAAAAGGATTAGGGCCACATGAGAAATATATTTTGGGATGTGACCCAAAGTAAGAAAAATATTTGTACTTTCTGATTTTAGTTCAGAATTCTGAGACTTTTGGTCACATCCCAAACATTTTTTCTCATGTGGCCCTTATCCTCTTGCGTACTACCCTCACCTTCTTTCTCTCTACCTTTAACCTCCTGTGTGCAGCATGTGGAGGACGTACAGCAGGGGCGCAGGGAGCTGCTGATGACCATGCGTCTCCTGCAGGAGGAGAAGCAGCAGCTGCAGGAGGAGCAGAGGAGACTGTCCAGGGAGAGGGAGCAGGAGAGGGACACATGCTGCCTGCTGCGGACACACAACCAGGTCAGAGACAGTGGGGGCAGGAAGTAATGCTTTTTTATTGGTATAGATATAGCAGATATTGTTTTTAAATGCATTATTATACATTTAATTCCAATGCCACAGTAGAAGATACCTTTCCCTTTATTTCAGATGATTAATTTTCTTTTTTAACAAACAAAAAGGCACAAGACTGAGTCTAAGATGAAATCCATAAGCAATGCCCTGTTCTACTCACATTTCTACATGCCTGCTCCAGTAAACCCCCTCCATATATCATAGGGCCCATCATCATCTAATTAACCTTAATTTGTACAAAAAGTATCTCTCGCTTTAATTCATAAAGTAAAATAAACTTGCATTCTTTCAATGATTGCACAAATTGGGGAAAGAGAATACCACAAAAATAGCTCTTGAGGCTTGAGGTGAGTTTCAGTGTGTTTGCACATGTGTGTATTTGGAAGTTAGTGTGTGTCTGGGTTGAAACAACGTGTGTGTGTGTGTGTGTGTGTGTGTGTGTGTGTGTGTGTGTGTGTGTGTGTGTGTGTGTGTGTGTGTGTGTGTGTGTGTGTGTGTGTGTGTGTGTGTGTGTGTGTGTGTGCAGACAGACTCACAGTCTCTATTTGCACATGTGTGCGGAGCCGGTTCCTCACCAGTGATCACAGGTCTGAAAACTTCAAAGGCCCGAATTTATGAATAATCTGTGTCCATGTTTGAGACACACACACAGAGCCCCAGCTTGTGTGTGTGTGTGTGTGTGTGTGTGTGTGTGTGTGTGTGTGTGTGTGTGTGTGTGTGTGTGTGTGTGTGTGTGTGTGTGTGTGTGTGTGTGTGTGTGTGTGTGTGTGTGTGTGTGTGTGTGTGTGTGTGTGGTGTGTGTGTGTGTGTGTGTGTGTGTGTGTGTGTGTGTGTGTGTGTGTGTGTGTGTGTGTGTGTGTGTGTGTGTGTGTGTGTGTGTGTGTGTGTGTGTGTGTGTGTGTGTGTGTGTGTGCCAGTCTTTCTTTAACGACCTGACTCAGTGGGCCAGAACGGAATTGGGACTGAGTTTTCTCGGCATCTGGCGTCAGGGACGATGCCATCGCAACCACAAAGTGAACAAACATGACGTCAAACGCACAAACAGAAACACACACACTCGGGCTCATATGCATACACAAACTGCCCCCCCCCTTCACTCTCACACTCACATTCAGGTTCCACACCATGGGGCCCCTCTAATGTGCATTCACACACGCACACAAACACACTCATTATGCCACCCGCTTGCAAACACTTTTAGTCTGTGTGTGGAATGAGAGGAGGGTAGTCCGCAAAACCGCCTGCTTGAAAAAAAAGCCCTGCCCAGCCTCAGGGACAAACACCACTCTGTCACGCGATTCAGTGGCCACTGCTTTCTCACCGTCTATTTTCTCTCCCTCTGTCTATCTGCCTGTCTGTCTCTCTACAAATGTGTTGTCTCAATTTAGAGTTGTTTTGTTGGCATTAGAGCAAAAGCCACATAAAAAGGGGGGGGGGGATACATTTGGAAACATAAATGAAAGTTGAACTAAATTGACTTCTTAAATTACTTCTTCATTTCACATAGTTTTTTAGTCCATTTCCTTGTCACTTACCAGGATGAGTCAGATGTCAATATGTTATGAGTCGCACATGATAAGCAGTATCTTGGCACACACACCTAAAAACCAGTCAACTCAAGGAAACAGAAGAGGGGGTGGCAGAAGGAGGGAGGGATGCCAATACTTCTGAGTTTGAATGTAGTCTCTTATCGCCCCCTAGTGCATCTCTCCGGTAAAAGCTCAGAGTGAGGGCAGGCTGCTTTGAGTTAGTCCGCTCTTTTACGAACGACAAAATCGCCATAAATTACATGGTAATACACACACACACACACTGTTATTACCACGCTGCTTTTCATTCAACAGGCTTGTCCATCTGTAGATATACGACTTCTCTGAGTAGGTGTGTGTCTCTTTGTAGAGCTTTTACAGTAGGTGCGTTAGCTCCTGCCCACGCTGATGAAAATATCTCCAGTTTAACATGAAAACATAAGTACATATTTTGTGGCTGCTAATTTTACGAGTACACTTTTTATAAGGTCTTTATGCACTGCTAAAGTGCTTCCCAAACGCCAGCCGTAAAAATCATACAGTAATCGACGGGCCAAGCCCAGAGGGAGTAAGGCCTGAGTGTGCATTGATGTGTGCATGTCTGTTTTAGATGGATGGCGGTTCTCCGAGCTATCTGTCTCTCTCCATACGTCCTTGAATATGCAGCTGTGTGTCTGTCTTCCTGTAATTGTGTATGTGTGTGAGCGTGAGTAAGAGTGTGGAAGCGACAACTAGAAAGGAATGTGTGTGCAGAAGAATGTTGTTCTGTCACAACCAATATGACCTATGGATGATTTAACGTCCTTCACTGCTGATTAGCAGCAAGTTCAAACAGGGCTTCGGCTCAGCAGTCACACCACACGGAGGAAACAGACCTCATGTGATCAGCTGCACCAGGAATTTGTCTTAAGGAATCCATTGATAATAGACAGGTTATTTGCATACATTTACTGCTTTTTTTCACAACTTCAAATACTGGGTGTGTGTTCTGTGTCCATCACAAGGCTCATTTCAGTCATACTGTAATTTGTAACTGGAGATTTGTTGGAATAATATTTCAAACGAACTAATAGACTTTACAATATTTTAGAGATGATTGTTGGTAAACATTTCTCAAATATAAGTCCAATCCCAAACAGATTCAACAAAAAAATAACATTGAAACCTACTTACATTTTATTAGCATACTTTAAATATCTAACAAAATCAATGTGGGTACAAATTACATTCATATTCACAAGGGGATCCGCAGCAATAATGAAAGAAAAGAAGACTTAAAAGATAAAGAAAACTGCAATTCATCATTGATTTGTAGGCTTTCTTCCCAGTGGTTTCTGAACCTGGATCTAAACCAAGATCAGCTTCTTCTAGGAATGGTTAAAGCCTCTATGATGTTTTCTTTGACTCATCCAAGTGAGACATACAAATCAGATGTCTTACAAGTGCCTCACATGTAGGAACAGAAGAAAACACAAACACTTGACTGGCAACCTCATTTCCTCATTGTCAGCCACTGTGAGCCATTGCCTCCTAGTTTTTTCTCTAGCCTTTTTCTCTAGCCTCGCTAGATGTTCTGTAAACATAGGTGTGTGGAGAGCGCTAAATAATTAACATTTTACACTGACAGAACGCATATAAAACTTGTGAGGTTACATATTTGCCTATTTTACGACACCTTTCCAAAAATACCCCTCTCAACGTCCAAACAACCGTGAGAACTTTTTTTTTCTTGCATGTCATGAGAGGAATATTACACATGTGAAACACATTTCTTTTCAACTGTTATTGTGTCTATCATGTCATTACTCTCTTTTTTGCATGAATGCATTGTGCATAAAAACATATAAAAGCAAACATACAACGTATATTAATTATATAAAAATAATATTTTCTTTGCAACATGACAGTTGTTTGTCACATGAAATATAACCATCTGTCATTAATCCCGAGTATTGCATCAGTACCAGACTTTGTTAGCCTGCTGATTTAGCCGCTGTGATTGGCTGCAGCGCCTGTCACTCACAGCCGCAGCTGCCTCTCTGTCCCGCAGGAGCTGCTGCGCTCGTCGCAGGGCCTGTCAGAGGAGAGGGAGGAGGTGAGGAGGAGGCTGTCAGAGGCCACAGAGCGGGTCCGGCAGCTGGAGGAGGATCTGCTGGGAGTCACCCAGAGAGGCCTGCAGAAGGAGACCGAACTCGATTGGTAAGTGGAACACGTGACCATAAATCATTCGAGCGCTTCATTTCGGCGCAGACATAACTGTAAAGGGAAGGTTTCTTGCCTGCCTTCTGCTTCCTAAACATGTTCATCAGTCCTGTTGTCTACAAAATAATACAAAACACAGCCTCAAAAATAATGATTAAATAGACACAAATGTTTATATTTATGACATGAATTTTACTTTGAATAAATACCTTTCCTCCAGCTTATTCTTTTTTCAGCACTCTTAAATGATGGTTTGGGGGGTCACCAGGCAAATCTTTTTTTACTGACATTTAGTGGGTCGTGGTTAATAGTTTAAGACTATAATTACTTATTGGACTACAAATTGGAAATACTTTTCTTAAGCATAAATCAATGAATTCGGTAGACGATCAGGCTGTACAAATCTTTTTTCATTTTATATCACAGTCTGCGCGACCGCCTGAAGAAGCTGACAGCAGAGAAAGACAGCCTTGAGAGCCATCTGAAGAATGAGAAGGATGAGAGAGACCTCTACAAGGTGGGAGAAGTTTAGTAGCTAAAAAATCTTCAACAACGAAAATATGCATTATGATAAAAAAAAAACCTGTGTGATTCTCATCTCATTGAATCTGACATTTGCACCTCTTTCTCTCTGTGTTGTCCCATGTGCAGGCTCACCTGCGCAGCACCGAGCTGGAGAACACGAAGCTGAGCGCGGAGCTGCAGATGCTGAAGGCGGTGGAGCTGAACCGGGAGGTGACCATCGCTCAGTTCCAGGAGGAGCTGGACCGGCTCCGGCTCTGCGTCGCTCAGCGGGACAGCCTGGAGAAAGAGCTGCTGGCTCACAAGACTGACAAGGTAGCTGTGGTTGTACCCACATGTTTGTGTATGAAAGTTAAAAATCAGTTAATCTTTATATATAATTTCCTGCTAAACACCTGAGCTCTGCTAAGTGCCCCGATAAACATTCCTGTGTGTTTTTAACCACAATAAACCGTATTTAATTTAGTCTTCATTTACATTATTTAATTTCATATTCTCTTCTTGTACATATCCTATATTCTATTGGCATACAGTGGGGCAAAAAAGTATTTAGTCAGCCACCAATTGTGCAAGTTCTCCCACTTAAAAAGGAGAGAGGCCTGTAATTTTCATCCTAGGTATACCTCAACTATGAGAGACAAAATGAGAAAAAAAAAAAATCCAGAAAATCACATTGTCTGATTTTTAAAGAATTTATTTGCAAATTATGGTGGAAAATAAGTATTTGGTCAATAACAAAAGTTCATCTCAATACTTTGTTATATACCCTTTGTTGGCAATGACAGAGGTCAAATGTTTTCTGTAAGTCTTCACAAGGTTTTCACACACTGTTGCTGGTATTTTGGCCCATTCCTCCATGCAGATCTCCTCTAGAGCAGTGATGTTTTGGGGCTGTCGCTGGGCAACACAGACTTTCAACTCCCTCCAAGATTTTCTATGGGGTTGAGATCTGGAGACTGGCTAGGCCACTCCTTGAAATGCTTCTTACGAAGCCACTCCTTCGTTGCCCGGGCGGTGTGTTTGGGATCATTGTCATGCTGAAAGACCCAGCCACGTTTCATCTTCAATGCCCTTGCTGATGGAATCAAATCAAATCAAATTGTATTTGTAGAGCACATTTAAAAACAATTTTGGTCGAGCCAAAGTGCTGTACATGTAATTTAAACACATAAAAATACATTACATCACAATAAAAGACAATAAATCACAACAGATAAAAACAACACATGGAACAGTCAGGAGTCGTGACCCCACTCTAACTAGAAGGCCAGAGAGAAGTAGTGTGTCTTCAGTGTGGATTTAAAAGCCCCTAGGGTCTGGGCCGACCTCACATGGAGGGGAAGAGTGTTCCAGAGCCTGGGCCAGCTGCTGCGAAGGCTCGGTGCCCTCGGGTTTTGAGCCTGGTCTTAGGCACTACCAGCAGCAGCTGGTCAGCAGATCTTAAGGCTCTGCCTGGGGTGTAGCGCTGGAGGAGTTCAGCTATATAGGCCGGAGCCAACCGATTTAGTACTTTAAAAACAAATAAAAGGATGGAAGGAGGTTGTCACTCAAAATCTCACGATACATGGCCCCATTCATTCTTTCCTTTACACGGATCAGTCGTCCTGGTCCCTTTGCAGAAAAACAGCCCCAAAGCATGATGTTTCCACCCCCATGTTTCACAGTAGGTATGGTGTTCTTTGGATGCAACTCAGCAATCTTTCTCCTCCAAACACGTCTAGTTGAGTTTTTACCAAAAAGTTCTATTTTGGTTTCATCTGACCATATGACATTCTCCCAATCCTCTTCTGGATCATCTAAATGTTCTCGAGCAAACTTCAGACGGGCCTGGACATGTACTGGCTTAAGCAGGGGGACACGTCTGGCACCTCAGGATTTGAGTCCCTGGCGGCGTAGTGTGTTACTGATGGTAGCCTTTGTTACTTTGGTCCCAGCTCTCTGCAGGTCATTGACGGTCCCCCCGTGTGGTTCTGGGATTTTTGCTCACCGTTCTTCTGATCATTTTGACCCCACGGGGTGAGATCTTGCGTGGAGCCCCAGATCGAGGGAGATTATCAGTGGTCTTATATGTCTTCCATTTTCTAATAATTGCTCCCACAGTTGATTTCTTCACACCAAGCTGCTATATTGCAGATTCAGTCTTCCCAGCCTGGTGCAGGTCTACCATTTTGTTTCTGGTGTCCTTTGACAGCTCTTTGGTCTTAGCCATAGTGGAGTTTGGAGTGTGACTGTTTGAGGTTGTGGACAGGTGTCTTTTATACTGATAACGAGTTCAAACAGGTGCCATTAATACAGTTAATGAGTGGAGGACAGAGGAGGCTCTTAAAGAAGAAGTTACAGGTCTGTGAGAGCCAGAAATCTTGTTTGTTTGTTGGTGACCAAATACTTGTTTTACCGAGGAATTTACCAATTAATTCATTAAAATCCTACAATGTGATTTCCTGGATTCTTTACCCCTATTCTGTCTCTCATAGTTGAAGTGTACCTAGGATGAAAACTACAGGCCTCTCTCATCTTTTTAAGTGGGAGAACTTGTACAATTGGTGGCTGACTAAATACTTTTTTGCCCCACTGTATATAGACTGTTTGCACTACTTTTTATTTTGTATTTTATTATATATGTTGCATTGTTGGAGGAGCTCAGGTCAGAAGAATTTCATTGCCATTTCTACACTGTAGCTTTGTGCATATGACAATAAAATCTTTGAATCTCGAATCCCTCGGCATGTCTCCAGGCAGATCTGGCCCGTGTGCGTGAGCAGCTCCGTCAGGCAGAGGATCAGCTCCAGGCGTCCCGGCAGCAGGCCTCTCTGCTGGCCTCAGAGCTCCGTGACGCCGCCAGCGCCCGGGACCACACGATGACCGAGCTGTACCGCGCCCGACTGGAGGCCGACAAGCTCCGTGCCAGTCTAGCTGATGCTCAGGCCGAGTGCCAGCGCATGGAGAGCCAGCTGGACCGCATGAGGAGCACAGCGCAGAAGGAAGTGGTCAGTCTGACTGTTTGTGACATGATTCTGAAGACATGGAGAATGTGCTTCACTCCAGTTCTGAAGTCTTTACACTGGTTTCTTGTCTGTCAAATAATTGATTCCAAAATACTGCTGCTGGTTTATAAAGCTTTGAATGGTTTAGGCCGAAAATAAATGTCTGATCTCCTGCTAAATGATGAACCATCCAGATCTCTCAAGTCTTCTGGGACTGGTCAGCTTTCTGTCCCCAGAGTCAGAACTAAACATGGAGAAGCAGCTTTTAGTTACTATGCTCCAAATATCAATCTCCCGGAAACCTGCAGGTTCCGCTGCAACTCTTACTACTTTTTAAATCCAGGCTGAAGACTTTTTCTTTTTGCCGCTGCTTTTAATTGATATATCTCACATAGCACTGTAGCTTTTATTCATGGACCTGTGTTATTCATGCTTTATTATCTTTGCTTTTGAATGAGTGTTTTGAAATGCCATTTTATAATATGTTTCTGCTGCACTATTTCTTAATGCTCTTAATGTTTTTCATTTTTGTAAAGCACTTTGAATTGCCTTGTGTTGAAAGGTGCTAAACTTGCCTTGCCTTGGCTTGCTTCTTGGGTGATTTTCACACAAAATGTCCTTCTCTCCCAGGGTGTTGGGACCTGTGGGGAAATGACGCCCAGCATGATGGTGGTGTCAGAGGCAGAGGCCGAGCTGCAGAGAGAGGTGGAGGAGCTGAAGCTGCGTCTGCACATGGCGGCTGAGCACTACAAGGAGAAGTACCGGGAGTGTCAGCGCCTGCGCAGGCAGGTGGCTAAACTAAACATGACCGAGTCACAGGGGGTGAGTACTCTACAGTAAAACTCATAAAACAACATGCAGGTCAGTTTTTGTGTAAAGATGTAGCAATTACATTTTGTTAAACATTCTTGTTCTTTCTTTTGCAGGAGCCAAAGAGAAATGTGTCCACAGAGACGACACCGGAGCCGCTGACCCCGAGTCCAGAGTCACCGACAGCAGGTGCACACACATTTATCTGCTTGTTGTTCATTTCTTAAATATACTATGATTGCATTTTTGCAAAAACTCATTCTGAAAAAACGAATGAATCCAAAACCACTGATTATGGTATACATTGAATTTCCATTTCTTAAGTTGTAGAGGATGTTCTGTACTTGCCCAAACATACACAGGTTGATAACATGTATATACAGATTTGTGACTAAACTTGATGTGCATAACATTTCAAATAGAAAGAGAAATTCATTATAGAAAAGTATGTGTAATGTGTTTTCTTTGTTTTCTTTCAAATAAATAATAAATGGTTAGAATATCTTGAATCAATAATAATGCTTTTCAATAGCATGACAAAGGAAAGTAAGTATTGTGACACGCCTGACTTGACAACATTATATCTTCTTCTCTGGCTTTTATGTTGCTCTCTAAGCAATGTCAAACTGCAATCTTAAAACAACACATTGAAACATATTCTCTGTCTTGGAAATGTACAAGGTAAATACCTCACACCTATGTATTAATGAAAGGGTCACCTCTGTCTAACAAAAAAGTTATTGCAGCTTAAAACACTCTTCTATTTAAGTGTTTATACCTGAATCAAAGACTCTTTTGCTGACTATTGATCATCTGTGTTCTACTATAACGTGTTTTACAGGGAATATAGCTATGGCAGTCCTACAAGAAGCCGCTGAGATGACAATCACTCCAGGACTTAATAACAGGGAATCCACGCATGCTGCATGCATCAGCACAGAGAGGGAAGACAGGCAGAGAGAGAAAATGCCAAATGAAAGGCCTAAGGCGGAGACTGAGGGAGAAGAAATCCAAGTGAAGGACGGGGAGAAAGAGGACAGACGGAAAGAAAAAGAGGAGAAGAAGGACAGCCTGCCAGAGAGTCTGAGGATGACGAGCTGGGTGGAGGTGGAGAACGAGAGGCAGAGCGGCGAGGAGAATAGCGAGGCGGAGATGACAGGGAAGGCCGAGGAAGTGAGGGATGTCGTGGAGCACCAGGTGCTGCTGGAGGTGGAGGGGAGGAGCATGGGGGAGGCGGAGAAGGCACAAACCTGCTCAGTGGAGGAGGAGCTGGCGATGATGGAGGAGAAGTGGAGGCAGCAGTGTGCGATCAATGAGACGCTCAAACAGCGGCTGGCCAATGAGGAGGAGCGATTCAGAGTAAGGAACACAAACACACAAACTAATGCACATTGTGAGTGATCAGAACTCTGCAAATGGAGAGGTGTGTGCAAGATCTACAGCAAGGCAAAGAGTGCAAAACATTCCCTTTGCTAATATAAGTTAAAACAGCAAGCAGGCTCCATTTTAGATTAGCAATTTTGAAAGGAAGACCTCCACACAAACCTATTCTAAATCAATTTTCCAGTACATTAAATGTGGATATTTTTCTTATCCCTGGATGCATTCACTGGATGGAAACACAGAGAGAATGAACTTGTGAAGTTGTGATCCAGTCATAATGGGCATTATAGCATTCACTCATACCTAACTTTACACAGTTGTTTGTACCTAAAATCTTCATTATTTCTGATACATTTTATAAATATATGTTGGTGTAAACAAAAAACACAATACATAGCGTCTGATATGTAACCTTTTTATGCAAAATAAGGGTTAATCAATTAAAAAAATTATTTGAAAATGTATCAATTTAGTCCATAAAATGACGCTAAATAGTAATAAATGTTAATAACAAATTCCATGATTGCATCCTAGGTGCAGGACTATGTCGGAAATTAATATAATTTTATACATAACAGAGAACAGCAACATGTCCTCACATTTGGAGGCTGGAACCAACACATATTTGTCTTTATTTGTTCTGACTAGTACTTGATAAGTCACTTAAAGGTGGGGTAGGTCATTTTGGAGAAACCAGCTCGAGATCGCTAGAATTTGAAAAAACACAGCCGGAAAAAATCTGCCACTTCCTTACAGAGCCCCTCCTCCAACACACACGAACGCACACATGACCAATGAGGGCACAAGATAAGTTTGTGCACAGATGGAAGGCTGACAGGCAGGAAGGCCATCCAGTTATTTTAGCCGGGCCGGCTCAGATGATTGGTCGTGCTTTTTACAGCGCCACGGCTTCCACAGATGAAATGTTTGTATGGATTTTTTGTCAAAGCACTTAAGATATTCATTACTATCGGGATGTTAAGAGCATTCCATGCAATATAACAAAAAATGTATCTCGAGAGTCGAGCCGGTTTCTCAAACTTACCTACCCCACCTTTAAGCCATAGATTAATATGGAAATTGTTACTGCAGTGTACTAAACATTTTATTAAAGCAGAACAAATAGTCTTAAGTGTCAAGAAAACAGGGTACAGTTAGTGGCAGATTATCGAATTGTTTTTGGAGGACTTGGTCTCAGAGTATCAAATGTTCATCAGAGTTTACATGAGCATGCATTAACCGGAGTAACCGGCTTCCTCCATGCCACACATGATCCGATGTGTGTGGTATGTGTGCAGGATTCAGGACCAGCATGTTGCTTTTTGCGTGCGAATGTCGGCCAAAGTACCTACTGGCATTTAATCTCCATGAGTGAGTGTGTGTTTATCAGCGCTGTAAATAAAAGCCCCCCCCTGCCTTTGATGGAGTCTCCCGTCTGAAGCGAGTGCCCCGGGGCCGAGCCGCTCTTAATGGCCCCTGAGACTGACAGCAGAGGCAGGGCAGCCGCAGAGCGCCAGGCTTTACGGCTGTTTACATCAGCCACCCGAAGGATGGGCCGATGGAGAGGGAAGAGACAGTCAGAGAGTGGTGGGAGTGAGGCACAGGAATACACTGCTGCAGATTCCCTTCACCTGAACCTAACCCGCTAATGCAGCGCAGTAAATTTATAAAGGAGGGGGAGAGCAAGAGAGGACAAAGAGATGAAAGAGAATGACGAGGGGAAAGGTTGAAGACAGCATTTAAGAGTGAAAAAACATGAAGCAGGAAGAGAAACTGCAGGGATTGGATCCTGTGTGATGGGATGAAATAAGAGAAGAGCAGACAACTAGCCATGTAAACTATCCCACAGGCTCTGTCCCGCTGCAGTTAGATTTACTACGATCCCCTGCTCTGCTGCAGACTGCCCCGCATGCAGACCCTGTTTCTGTAGCTCTGGCTGGAATCAACAGACATTTGATACCACTTTAGGTTAAGTAAAGCTCCACTGAACATATATTTGTTTACCAACTTGCCATTTCTTTTAAAATGTGGGTTCACTGAGAAAAAGAACAAGAGTAGGCATTGTTGTTCATCATGTTGTTCATCCAAATCATTTTTTTAATAAAGGGAAAAGGTTCCTTTTCAGATTTGTCCTTTTTATCAACTCTGGGAGAACATTTATGCTATTTTCTTCTTTTTTTGTAATGTAAATTGTTTGGTCAATGTACAGATAATTAAACGACAAATATTCCGATTTTTTTAAGACAATGCCAAATATTTCCTACTTCCAACTTTTTCATGGACTATTTGCTGCACTTCTTTGTCTTAATAAATACCTTTGGATATAAACAAGAGATAAGAACATGATGCCTTGGGCTCTCATTTTATAGACTGAACAATTAATTAATTAATCTATAAAAGGCTCAGGAGACTAATTAATTATTTAAGTATTTGCTAGAGGCAGCCTTAGTTTGTCTATAATGTCACTTCTGCCTGTATGGAGGAATAAGGAGCTACATGCATTGGTGCCTTTCTGTGATTATGCACGCAAAACAGCATTCACTCAAATGTATTAGTTCACAATATTCTTTTTCTTTCACCAATCAGACAGCTTTTATTTGTAGAACGGCATTTCTTATTTTCAATAGATAGTTGACAGGTAACTATAACGATCGCAGAGGCTTCTGCTCGCACCTTAAAGGGACAGTGAAATAAAAAAAATACACATTTCAAGTTATGGTCCTGTGCCCCTTTGTCAATAGTTTATTTAGCATATTTGAAAACTTCTTTATCAAAATGTAAATGTATCTTATTTGTTGTAAACATAGAATTATGCTGTCATGCATTTTCTTTAACTCTGGCCTTAATTCGTTTTTCTCCTTGTTTATTCTTTCTGTAGGTGCACATGGCGGAGCGAGCCAGCGAAGTGACGGAGCTGAAACGCAACCTCGCCCAGGCCCTCAAAGACAAGGAACAACTAAAGGAGGTGTGCTATACACAGTACACACTATACAGTAGGACATTTATATATCAGAGAGGTTTATTCCAGTACAGCATTGTGACTTCTTTACAGTTATTGAAATAATTCGATTTTAATAATGAATGGGAATGTAGGTTATAGACTTAGAAAAGCCATCTGGTTATAAACTTTCAATATCAAAATGCATTTACTGACATTAAAAGTCACATTGTAGATAATGTAGGCTCTTCACTAAGGTCTATTATCACATTCAATTATGAGCGCTTTAGTGTCTGAAACCATTCCTGTAGCTTTTCCTTCTCTTCTCCATTCTCCCCTCTCCCCACTAATTAAAACATCCATACTTGCTTCTTTCGCCCACTGGTACAGTGCCATTAGACAGTGCAAATGCCAAGCGACGTGTCTGTTTCACCTTCCCAACCCTGGTTTAAATGTTAAACCTGATAGCTGCGCACTAATGAAGTCATCAAGAGAGGAGGTCAGGGGGGAATAGCGAGAGGAAGGAGGAGAGGAAATGAGGGAGAGGGCGAGCGCCTCTATCTGCAGAGCCAGAGCACAGGGAGCCAGAGTCTGACACCCATTACAGTAATGAGTAGGGTACAAATGCTACTGCTTCAGATATAATCACAAAGGGCAGAAACAATGTAGAAGGACACTTAACTCGGAGCTGAAAATACTTATTGCCTTTGTGGTTCCTAAAGTGAAAATGTGCTATGGAAACACTTCACTCTTTACAGCTATACTCATCACACTGCTTTAGCAACACAGTTCTGTAAAGGAGGATTTACTGTGAAAGGGAAACTATATATATATAGGGAAATATAGATAAAAATCACAATGAAATACAGAAAAATAATGAAAAAAATATAAACATTAACATATCAAATGTGTAATAACTTAGGAAAGAACAGCTTTGAAAGTGTCTATGTGTCTAAAGGATGTATGTCCTTTTGTTAAAGTTTGGCTGGCTGGCTTTTTCTATATTCTCAAATGAATCGCTCCAATGGGCAACAGACTCCTGAGTAATAGCAGTTTAAAAGACATGTAAACTAAATGTAGTTTATCCCTGTGAGGTGCTTGATTTTGTCTCTATCTCTGCTCCAGGAGCTGCAGCAGTTTGTGTCCAGGCAGAGGGAGCAGGAGGCGGGTGTTCAGGCTTCAGAGCCCATGGTGCTGCGCTACCCCCTGCCGTACCCTCAGGACCCGTCTCCTCCACCCCTGGTTCCTCACAGGCCGGCTGAGCTGCAGTACGGTAACCCCTACTCCACTGACACCACTAAAGGTGAGAGGAAGTCAAAAGTTGACAAATAATTTATTTTGTGTTATCTTCAAATCTGCAGTTGCCTGTTCTTCTTAAAGGGACAGTCTTCCCCAAAAATCCCAAATATGGGTTTTTTCCTACCTGAAGTGTATGTATCCATTTAGGTTGTTTTGGTGTTAGCTGCTGAATATTGGATGTATCAGACGTAGAAATGTCGGCCTTCTCTCCAATATTAAGGAACAGGATGCCAATGGGATTGTGGTGCACTGTCCCTTTAAGTCATGCTGCTGTTTGGTCAATAACACTATGTGTTACTTTATTCTAGACCTGGTGGATGTTGCGCTGTCTCCTGAGCACATGTCCCGTCCTCCACCTGAGGCCCCACCCTGCGCCCCTCCCTGTGCACCCCCAATCACACCCCCGAGCTCAGGCCCCAGGGCCCCAGGCTGGGACCGAGAGGTGGTCTGCATCCAGCCCTCCCGCAGCACGAGCCCCCCCCGAGAGCCTGGATAGTAGTCCGGAGGAGCCGCAAAATGTAAGTGAATATAAACACATATACAGGTTGGACGCTAAATGCTAACAAACTAAAATCCCTGCCTGGTAGGAAATCCATTAGTAAGACAAAATAACAGTCCTTTATAAGTATCAATTAAGGCTTTTATTATGCAGAACACTTTTTACTTCTCGCTCTACTTTAACACACGGAAACATGTTAAAGTGCCGTATTTGATCACACTATTAATTTGCTCTCAATACAGCAGTACCTATGATATTATAGGACCAGCCTTTGCCTTCTTTCCCCTCATGTCGTGCTTTCAGTATCCAAAGCATTGCTGTCGGAGTGATCCCTCTCTCTCTTTCCGTCTCTGGAGTTCTCCTCCTCTCTTAATGAAGGGAATAGTAGCTTGCCCTTAAAAATAAAGCGACGAGCTCATTTGCATAAAGCTCTAATTAACGTCACTCCCTCAGAGCTCAGGAGAGACGAAGATAACAAGGGCTTGGGGAGTAATTAGGGGGGATTTTGCAAAGGGACAGACCCAAGATCAATTAGAGTCTCTGGGATTATATGTTTTTGTTTGGGAGCAAACTGAAGAGATGCTAGTAAGGAAGGTATTTGTAGTTCTTTAAATAGAAACAAAGCTTTAATGGCTTTAACCCTTTCAATCCATATTTTCCTTTTTTAGTAAACAACCTTTTAAGATAGTGTTTGTGTGTGCTCTATGAGCAAATAGATGGCCATCAGTTTCTATCCTTTTGTATGCAATTTTGTTTTATAGGCTGCTGCTGACGGGGCTCAGTCGTCCTGTGATCATCTGTCCGGTAGACGTAGAGAAGCCAGGGGCAGCTTCTGCTTTGACTCCAGGTAGTGTGCCTACACACACACATAAATAGGTAGACTGATATACAACAAGCAACAATAAGGACATCAATAGACAGCAAAGAGAAGTCACTACATCTCAAAGTTAGTCAGTCAAACCCTGTGTCAGAGGTGCGTTAGAAAAGCCAACATAAAAAGAAGGTTGCGGTTTTCGTGCTCATGTTTACCTTAAAGGTTGAATCTTCCTCCCTGCTGACACTATAGATTCACATTGTTCTTCAGTTTCTTGTCAAATGTCATTTCTATCCATTAAAACTGGGATAGGCAGTACATGTTTAGCATTACATTGGGTCAAATACGAAAATAACATTGAAGCATATTGAAAGTCTGCCTATGGCTTTTTCAAAACTGCCTGCACTGGATTACCACTTGCCCCAGCTAAATCTATACCCCCCCCCCCCCTAAACAACCACAGCTTTCTATCTTTCAGTTTGTGCAGGAAATAAACAACATAGAAGTTCTAAATTCATAGTAAAAACATGATGAGCAAGAATATCTTGAAAGATGCATAAAACGTTACTTTGTGCATCTGTGTATGCACATGCATCGTTTGTATATACAGTATATTTACAATACATACTGTATGTTGAACAGATCTACGCATTTTCTGTTAAGGATGTAAATGCAAGATGTTCACAACCGCTGCAGTCTAATTTACCTTAATGGTAAACACATTACTAGCATTTGAACTCAAAACTGACATCTCTCCTCCACTCTCCTTTTCTCCCCAGTAGTGTTCACAAGCGTTGCCCGCTGTGCGAGGTGATCTTCCCCCCCCACTTCGAGCAGCGCAGCTTCGAGCAGCACGTGGAGAGCCACTGGAAGGTCTGCCCCGTCTGCTCTGAGCAGTTCCCCCTCAACTGTGAGCAGCAGCTCTTCGAGAGGCACGTCCTCACGCACTTTGATGGCCACGTGCTCAACTTCGACCAGATCGAATGAAAGGCGTAAAGGGCACATTTTTAATCTGACATACCGTGTGGGTAAATGTGTCGTCAGCTTTTAGTTCATTTCGATTGGGTTAAGTTGTCTTGTTATTATACAATCATTAGCACTTTTTGGCAATCTTGACAAAGGTTAGAAAGAATGTAGTCCACTTCAGAGAGGAAGCAGAGTTTGTCCCGTGGCTACCAAGGTGTTTTATGAAGTAGGGTAGCTTAATACATCATGGGTAAAAGGACCACTCGGGAAAAGTGCCATGGTCTTTTACTTTTGTATCATTTTTAACGCTTGTCTTTCTGCTTTGAGAAACTAAAGCACCATCAGTAGTGCATGCAATTATTATGTGTTCAAAAGGACAAAATGAAAGCAGTTCAAGCTGAAAGAGTGAATAGTAGCAGGAGCTTGAACCAGAAGAGAAAGTATTTAAGTATGTCCCTGTTATTTAACTAGCCTGGGTATTATTATCTCATGTGATGAAGCAGCCAAGATATATATTGTCTACATATTTCAAAGCTGAGGAAGGCAGAAAGGAATTATTTTGTGTAAATGCAGAGTGAGATCTGAATATGTGATGTCTTAAAGAATCATCAGAGTGTGTATATTTATTTGAAGAGAGGTGAGGTGGAGATTTTGTTGACTTGAATGGGAAGAGATCTTGGATTTCTCCCAAAAGCACAGTACTACTGTACGTGTAACAGACATCAGAAGGTTCAAACAAAAACAGCACTACGTTTCCATGTATCTGCACTAAATAAGGCTTTATTCTGAATGTACTGTACATATGAAAATAAGTATAAGTTGTGGAGAGACCTGTGACTTACTGTCGTGACTCCGCCTCCCCTCATTGTTACTTCTTCATGTTTTAGTGTTGAAAGAATGGCGGACTGTTTTTACTTTGGTCAGGTGGTAAGAAACTGGGCTGGTCTCTTTGTGTTATTGGAGATCCTGTCATGTTTTAGGCATATACACTGCGGGACATGTGACAACAACTTTTATTGTTATGTACTTCCGCGTTTTAAAGTTTGAACTGTGATGAAAAAAAGTCATTGCTTTGTGTGCAGGTCCATGAGTGAGTGTCATTTCTATGTGTGTCTCCACGGGGCTCCACATCACAGCTTGTCTATTTTCTGTCATTTCAAAGTGACCCCTGACAGTGTTGTATTCAGGCTTTAAAAATTGCACATGCCCAGTAATCACAAGGTAAATGTGTGTGTATGTCATGTGTCCGACGCAGCCCTTTTCATGTGAGAATGTCAGGACGGTGGTTTAAGTGTGTACTGCAAAGATCTTTACGAATAAAGTAAGCTTGTCTAAATGCACCCCGCTGTAATGTTGTTTTATAAAGAAATAACACCAGTACATATACAGAATGTTTTACTTTATTTTTTTCAGTCATTTCCTGTTTACATTTAGGCAGCTTCTCTTTAGAAAGACAGTTTGACATCATTTACAAGTCACTCTGCTCAGGACCTGTTGTCCCCTCATACAAAAAGGAAACATTGGTCTCCACGTTACATATGAAAATATAATTTAAAAGCACTTGACAACAGACACGTTACAATACATTCACTGTACACAGTATATTGAAACCCCTCCCTCGTCTTCTCCCTCTGCACACAGCCTCCGCTCCTCCTATCCCACATGTGTAATACTGCAATTGGCCCCCGTGTAGAGCTGAAACTATTGCCATGGTGACGGGGGCGTCCGTGTGAAGCAGGGATGGTTTTACGAGTGTTTGACAGAGCGCCAACGGGAGACTCTCAGTCTGCGTCCATCCCAGCCACGGAAACGCTTCCCCTACGCTGAGAGGCAGGAATGAAGCTTTTCTATCGCACGCAAGCCATTATCTCAGGGTTACTATCAGGGTAGTAAGAACACAGACGCTCTTTGAAACTGATACCAAGATTTTAGAGATCTAGGTACTTATTGGTGCTTAATAACAGACTTGGATGTCTTTTTTCAGGCACACATATTTGTGCTTATTTGTTAGGTAGCACACTAGTCAAAGGCATTGTAAGTACAGTAAAGATGCATGGTAATCACTATAATAAAAACAGGATATGACGGGGAAAAAGGTGGTTAAATATTGTTTATTTAACCACCATATTCTTGTAAAATTAAGGGTAATCAATCTGGAAAAAAATCTTTCATACTATTCCAGATGTTTCCATGGCAACAAAAGCTCGGAGGACAGGAGGATGTGTGCATGTCTGAGGGACGTTTTACCCCTCAAAAGAAAAAAAGGAGACGCTCGTGCTTTGAGACTTCTGCAGATTTAAAACGTTGTGCACGATGAGGTGGGAAATGATGTCATGGATCGATGTGTGGTTGGCAACGCGGGCGGCTACACAGCGCCGCTTTTGTTTTTCTTTGAGGCAATGAATGATGAAATCTCAGTCAGGGGTGGGGGCAACAAGTTGGCCACCGCTACACTACATGAGGCCCAAAACACTGCCATTTGTCCTGCTCCACAGGAGACCAACCGGCTTGCCTGGCAACAGAAAACACAAGACGCAGAAAACACGCCAGAAGACAACAAACCACTCTCATATGCTGATGACTTGGATACTGCTGAGAAATACACGGCATACATATCACACACACATGAAGTCAATGAACTGGAATGCTCTTGTCTACAACAACAATAACAGGTTGTAGGTGGTAATCTCTTTCAATACAAAACTTTTTTTTCTTCTTCTCGTAACGACACAAAAAATGCATGCATGAAAACATTCTGTCGACGTACATCCACTCATGCGCACATTTTGGAGGCGCGTTGAAGAAGAAATTCATTGCCACACGTTTGGCGAACTCCAGGGTGAAAACTATTACAGCTGGCTCCCTCCCTCCCTCCCCCCCCTCATCAGGCACATGGTATGGTCAATGTTTGGCAGTGGCGAGCTGATGGCAACATCATGGGAACAAAACACAACAAAGATCTTGGCAACTAGAAATACAGCATGATGGCAGTCACCACTTAGTCTCTTGAACACAGCTCTGGCACTCTGAATGAGGAAACACTGGAGATATGAAATACATGGTCGGCTTTCCGAGCGAATGAAGCGTTCAGATTATGGATTGTTGGCCTGGGCCGTGCTATAATACGCTGTCCTGAATGAAACATTGATTCAGAGTAACAAACAGAAAGGGGTTTTGGCTCCTTATCTCTCGGGGTGGGGTGAGAGAAAACTCTCTGAACCTGGCGTCGGCCAGCTGTTTGACCTTTGACCTCTGAGGTGACAAAACTGGCCATCTCAGCAATTTACGAATTAAAGGAACACTTACTGATACATAGAAAGAATAAAAACACTGACAAAAATATATAAAATAAAGCTTGAAAATAAAGTGTAACCTATTTATGTATATGCTAATTCATATTTTTATATATTTGTATGTACACATACATATCTGTCTATTGTTTATATATCAATAAATCTATTTAAAGTATAACTTGACTCCGGCACTCAAACCCCCAGAAGTTACTGCGAAGGCACAGATCTGAGATCAGCTAACTCTCTGCATAAACGGAAAGGGAGTGTAACAACTACTGAACTCAGATCAGCTTTAAGAGTCAACTTCATGTTAGGGGCAGGGCTTGGTTGCACTTCCTGTTTCACATCTTCTCCAGTTTCTTTCATGTCGTTTGTTTTTGTTTCTTTTCTTTCTGTTTTTTACAGTTAGCACCTTATGTAGATCAAACAATAGAGAACAAAAGAATGTGATAGTATATACGAATGTGCAAATGTACAACAATAAAAATACTACAAAGATAATTTTTTTCAAAAATACAAGTGATAGAAAAAAAAAATGTAACATACAAACAATTATATGAAAAAAGAAAATGAAACTTAAAGCACGCACTTGACCCTTTAGTGTTGGGGATGGGTGTAAAGGGTGGGTAAGGACAGTCAGGATAGGGCTATGTTCGGGGTAGTGATGGTGAGAGCGCAGGCTCTAACCCTGAATCTTGCGCAGGATCTCGGTGGAGACGGGCGGGTGGAAATTGATGGTGTGATGTCTCAGGCCCTGCGAGGTCTTGTAGCTCTTGCCGCAGCGACACTTAAAGGGTTTCCTCACGCGGATCTGCGTGCGGTGGCCATTCTTGGCATGGTACTTAATACCATTCACATTCTGAAGAGACAGGGAAGAAAGAGATTTATTACGAAAGGGGAAGCTGGGTAATAATTGTACCAAATAGAAGCTTTAAAGCTCACTATCTGCAAGTGTACTTTTACACACTTGCAGATAGTGAGTATACTGTTTGTAGAGTTCAATATTGTATATATCATTTATTAAGTTAAGAAGTGCTGATAGGTAGATTATTTATCTTTAGATGGAACCTGGCTAGCTTTTTATCCGGTTTCCTGTCCTTATGCTAAGCTAGCTAACAAGCTGCTGGCAGTAGACTGCACTTTAGTTTTAGTAATCTAAATGTGTATATATGCTTAACAGAGTCCCTTGCTAAATTAATATAAATCAGCATGTTTACACTAGAAAACATTGGTTTCTTTTCAAATAATCATGAAATGTTTTATTTATAGGCTAGGTCATTTTATTTTGTTCATATTAAATTTGCAGTCTTGGCCGCTGTTAGTCATCCTGAAGTCCACATATGAAATGACTAATGATACTGATAAAACTGATTAGTATATAAACATTCTACAGTTACTTTCTTAAGTTAAGTTCTACTTCATATCTATATATCGTTATATAAAGCTGAACAATATCAGACTGCAACAAACCCTGGTCACAAACTGGGTCAAATTAGATTTGATTACGTGTGTGGACCCATTCAGATGGTCAGCAAATGTGACTTTATCCCATGACACTATTTTGAAAAAGTTACAAAATGAATGAGGATTTTCGTGACCAGCTGTAATAAAAGTCAACCAAAGCAAACGCAACATGATATATTTGTCACTGCTTACAAACATGTTATTCTTGATTTAAAATATGCTTTTTCCAAATGATAAATGTCCAGACATGTGATGCCAGAGACAAAAGCTTAAATGTGGGCTTTACCAGAAATAACCAGCAACAAGATTTGTTCTGCTGTCGCCGCCGGGCAGACGTTACCGCAGGATCAGGAGAAAGACCTTCAGACTCAGGGACAGTTTTATCCCACAGACTGATAAGCTCTTGAGCTCTGGGAAATTGAATAACTTACTTATCTATAGAACATCTACAGTCTAGATATTTATTCATTGACTTTTACAAAACGCTGTATTTATTATTTTTATTTTACTTTTTTTTTAATTAGCTTATTTCTGCATTTTACTTGCACCGTTGTGTTGCTTGCGCTATTTTATTTCTTCTTCTTTAATACTGTATATTGTGTGTCGTACTGTTGGAAGAGCATGGGAACTATATTGTAGCTATTAAGCATTTGACACTAAAGCTTTTAGCCGGGCCGCCTCTCAATCCTCGGTTCGGCCTTACCTTGTATCTCTTCTTGCAGCCGGGGACGGGGCAGGCGAACGGCTTCTCCTCTCCCCCGTTCATGCACATGGAGCTGAGGATGGACTCGGAGCTGATGGCGCTTTCTGTGGTCCACGACTCATCGCTGTCCGACTCCTCGTAGTCTACCTCCTCCTCATCATACTCACTGCCTGAAGGCACAATGGAGACACGCAGAACAAAAAAACGCTAGTCATCCGGGATGAAATATGGATGGGGAATGGCCAAAAATTCGTCATGCTTTGGGAATTTAGCAAACAGAAAATATATTTGTGGCTTTTTATCAATATAACTCTATATTTGGCTCATATTTCCTGCATTAGCAGCCCACATGTCGCGGAGAGCAATGTTGATACAAAAAGGCAATGGTGCACTGTGCATGTGTGTGTGTGTGATTATGTGTACACATGTGAGTCAAAATGCAAGGGCTGGCACTCAGAAAGAGATCATTAAGTGGGAGTGATCCCCATTGCTCAGCCTGGAAAAAGTGCTTTGCTAAGTGCAGAACATTTTCCACTCACACACACACACCCACATACCACATTACTGAAATGTTGAGGCACACACAAACACACACTTAAGGCCCACTGACCCCCCACCATCTCACAGGAAATGCTGCACCTCAGCATGAGGAAATGGATGGCACCCTGGCACATGTAGAAAGAGAACGTGTGTTGGTGTGTGTGTGTGTGTGTGTGCGTGCGTGCGTGCGTGCGTGCGTGCGTGCGTGCGTGCGTGCGTGCGTGCGTGCGTGCGTGCGTGTAGCCGTGCGTGCGTGTAGCCGTGCTGGTGTATAGGCCCAGACCTAACACTACGTTTGGAACCATTTGGGCTGGAATTGGACATCTGCTTCTGGGCTGTG